GCCGACGGCGTCCGCGCCGCCGACGGCGTCCGCGCCGCCGACGGCGTCCGCGCCGCCGACGGCGTCCGCGCCGCCGACGGCGCCCACGACGTCGGGACTGTCCGCGCTCGCCGACGCGCTCCAGCGCTTCGAGGGGCAAGTGGTGGCCTTCGGCCTCTGGCGCGCGATCGAGCAGGCTGACATCCAGGACGTCGTCCTCCTCCGCACCCTCCACTTTCAGTTGCTCGAACTGCTGGAATCGGAGGCCGGGGACCTCGCGAGTACCGCCAAATCCTTCGCCTACTTCCGCGAACTGCTCGAGGCCCCGCTGCCCAGCGACGACCGGTCGGCCATGGAGCAGGTGGACATGCTCGGCGCCTACTTCCGCCGCATGTTCGACGACCACCGCGTCGGGACGTCGTTCATGATGGGCGGCGACGTCAACCTCGTCCTCTTCGCCGTGCCGCCCGTCGAGGTCGACGACCCCTGGCAGTACGTCGTCGGCGTCCTCGAGGAGGCGGCGGAATTCGACGCCGACGGCATCGTCAAGTTCCCCAACTGGAGCATCAAGGAGATGGAGTCCTACGAGTTCGCAGACGCGGCGCCGGCGGCGCCCGACGACCTGCCGCACCTCATCATCCCCGCCGGCGGCGACGGCGTCTCGACCCAGGGCGGCGGCGCGGCCGCGACGTCCGCGCCCGACGACGACGACGAGGCGCTCCCGGAGTGCCGCGCGTGCCGGGGCCGCCACGTGAAGCACACCTGCGGCAAGGGCCGGCCCGGCAAGAAGGCGCGGTGCAAGCCCGCGGCGAAGGCGCCCAAGGCCTCGAAGAAGAAGAAGGCGCCGCAGCCCGACGACGAGCCCGCGGCGACGGAGTCCTTCGGCGGCTGGTCGCGGCCCAGCGACGGCGGCGGCGGCGGCGGCGGCGCGGGCGACGCCACGGAGTCGGACGACGACGACGACGACGGCGGCGTGGACGAATTCGCCGAGGGTGCTGCAAGCCACGCGGCGCACCTGCGCGAGCTGCAGCGCCGCGGAGGCCCCGCGCCGAAGCCCGCGTCGCCCGAGCCCGAGGAGCGGGCGGCCTGGGTGCCCGCGCCGCCGCGGCGCGCGCCGCCGCGCGACGCGGCGGACTCGGACGGGCCGGCGCGCAAGAAGCAGAAGGCGTCCGCGACGCGGAGGCGGCGCCGCGACGAGGACGACGACTCGGACTACGAGGAGGACGCGAAGCGGAAGAAGAGCGACGCGTCCGACGACGACGACGACGACGACAGCGACGACAGCGGCGAAGACAACGACTACAAGGAGCGCATCTGGGCGCAGTTAGCGACTCTCAAGGACTACATCCGCACGCGGCCGGCGTACCCTCCGCCGTCGCTCGAGGGCCTCCGCGCGGCCTC